CATTGTCTCGCTCATCTGTAAAGCAGTGTCAAGATTTCAGGGAGTGTGAATGTACTGTGTTGGGCGCCGGGAGAAAAGCGTCACATATCCACCGTTTGTTCAAAGCATTTGTTAATCGCCTGTCACTGTCCTGCGCAGTTCGCCGCATGTGGTGAAATTAAGTGGAAACCACGACTCTCGGTCGACAGTTACACAACCTTCACGATACACGCGTGCCATGCTGACCTTGCTCCACTACCACGCAAAAACCTGAGAAGGACGCAGCGGCGATAGCTGATAGGCACTGTGTCTGCGAAGCTGATTGCTGCATGAGCATCACTTAAGCCAAGGAGCAATGAATACCTCCAACCACCGAACGGTCACAGTTCTACCACAACCTCCGTCTCCTGCTCCTCCTGCTCCTGCTCCTCCTCATCCTCCTCCTCCAACTCCAATTACTCCAACTAGATCCCCTCCTCCTCCTCCTGCTCATCCTCCTCCTGCTCCGGCTCTTGCTCCTCCGCCTCCTCCTCCTGATCATCCTCCTCCTGCTCATCCTCCTCCTGCTCTGGCTCTTGCTCCTGCTCCTGCTCCTGCTCCTGCTACTGCCCCTCCTCCTCCTCCTCCTCCTCCCCTCCTCCTCCTCCTCCTCCTCCTCCTCCTCCTCCTCCTGCTCCTGCTCCTGCTCCTGCTCCTCCTCCTCCTCCTCCTCCACCTCCTCCTCGTCCTCCTCCACCTCCTCCTCCTCCTTTCCTTCCTCCGCCTCCTCCTGCTCCTCATCCACCACCACCACCACCATCATCAGCATCATCATCAGCAGCAGCATCATCAGCTGTAGCATTATCATCAACAACAGCAACAGCATCACAATCATCAGCAGCATTGTCAGCATCATCATCATCAGCCGCATCAGCATCAGCATCAGCATCAGCATCAGCATCAGCAGCAGCATCATCATCATCATCATCATCATCAGCAGCATCATCATCATGATTATTATTATTATCATCAGCATCACCAGCATCAGCATCATCATCATCAGCATCATCGTCGTCGCCAGCATCATCAGCATCAGCATCAGCATCAGCATCAGCATCAGCATCATCAGCAGCATCATCATCAGCATCATCATCATCATCATCAGCAGCAGCAGCAGTCTCGACATCATCAGCATCATCAGCATCATCAGCATCCTCAACAGCATCACCATCATCAGCAGCATTATCAGCTTTATCATCAGCATCATCAACATCAGCAGCTCATCATACAGTATTCATCATCATCAGCATCATCATCATCACCATCACCATCACAATGACCAGCATCATCATCATCGTCTTCACCACCATCATCATCGTCATCAGCAGCATCAGCATCATCAACATCAGCAGTATCACCATCATCATAATCATTATCATCAACAGCATCAGAATCATCAGAATCGTCATCATCAGCATCATCAGCAGCTCATCATACAGTATTCATCATCAGCATCATCATCGTCATCATCGTCATCACCATCACAATCACCAGCAACATCATCATCGTCATCACCACCATCATCATCAGCATCATCAGCATCGCCATCATGAGCCTAAGCATCACCAGCATCATCATCAGCAGCATCAGCAGCATCATCAGCAGCATAATCAGTGATCATAATCAACAACGATACTATTAATAATCAGAATGGTCATCGTCATCATCGTCGTCGGCATCCTCGTCATCACCGTCAGCGGCATATGCATCATCATCAGCAGCAGCATCAGCAACATCAGCATCATCATCAGAATCATGATCAGCATCATCATCATCATCATCATCATCATCAGCAGCATCATCATCATCGGCAAAATAATCATCATCAGCATTAGCATCAGCATCAGCAGCATCATCATCCGTATCATGATCGTCATCATCATCCGCATCTGCATCATCGTCAGTATTAGCACAATCATCATCACTCACAGCATCACCATCATCAGCAGCATCAGCATCATCTGTAGTGTCATCATCATCATCCCTATCATTATCCTCATCCTCTGACCATCATCATCGTCATCATCATCAGGAGCATCAGCATCATCATCAGCATCATCATTGTGTATCCCCTCATGTCGTTCTCCTCCTCCCTCATGCTCGCTCCGTCCTGCTGTCCGCCTCCTCCTCGTCATTCGCCTCATCTCCCTCCTCCTCCTCCGCCTCGTCCTCCCCCTCCTATTCCTCCTCGTCCTCCTCCTCCTCCTCCTCCTCCTCCTCCTCCTCCTCCTCCTCTTCCTCTCCTCCTCCTCCTCCTCCTCTTCAACCACCCCCCCTTCCTCCTCCTCCTCCTCCTCCTCCTCCTCCTCCTCCTCCTCCTGCTCCTCCTCTTCCTCCTCCGCCTCCTCGTCCCCCCATCCTCCTCCTCCTCCTCCTCCTCCTCCTCCTCCTCCTCCTCCGCCTCCCGCCTCATACTCCTCTCCTCCTCCTCCTCCTAAACATCATCCTCATCCTTCTCCTCCCCTCCTCCCTCCTCCTCCTCCTCCTCCTCCTCCTCCTCCTCCTCCTCATCATCATCATCATCATCATCATCATCATCAAAACAACACACATCAACATCAACATCAGCATCATCATCATCAGCATCGTCATCCTCATTCTCTTCTTACTGTTCCTCCTCCTCCTCCGCTTCCTCCTCCTCCTCCTGCTCTTCCTCTCCTCATTCAGCTCCTCCTCCTCATCTTCCTCCTCCTCCTGCTCCTGCTCCTGCGGATCCTCATCCTCCTCCTCTTCCTCATCCTTTTCCTCCTCCTCCTCCTTCTCATCCTCCTCCTCCGCCTCCTCCACCTGCTCCTCATCCTCCTCCTACTCATCCATAACCAAAACCGCAAACACCGTCGTCAGCATCCTCATCCTCATCCTCCTCCTCCTCCTCCTCCTCCTCCTCCTCCTCCTCCTCCTCCTCCTCCCCCTCATCCTCATCATCATCATCATCATCATCATCATCATCATCATCATCATCATCATCATCATCATCATGCTCATCAGTATCATCATCATCATCATGCTCATCAGTATCATCATCATCATCAGCATCATCATCATCAGCATCAGCATCATCATCATCATCATCATCATCATCATCATCATCATCATCATCGTCATCATCAGCATCAGCATCATCATCGTCATCATCATCATCATAATCATCATCACCATCAGCATCATCGACATCATCATCATCAGCAGCATCAGCATCAGCATCATCATCATCAGCAGCATCATCATAATCATCATCATCACCATCACCATCATTATCATCGTCATCATGATCATAATCATCACCATCGTCAGCACCATCATCGTCATCAGCAGCATCATCAGCACCACCAACACAACCACCATCATCATCATCAACACCATCATCAGCAGCATCATCATCACAACCACCACCAGCATCATCATCATCTTCATCAGCAGCAGCAGCAGAATCGGCATCCGCATCAGCATCATCATCAGCAGCATCATCAGCATCATCAGAATCATCAGCATCAGCATCAACATCAGCAGCAGCATCATCAGCAGCACCTTTGTCATCAGCGGCAGCATCATCATCATCATCATCATCAGCAGCAGCATCATCATCATCATCATCATCATCATCATCATCTGAATCATCAGTATCATCATCAGCAGCATCATCATCCTCATCATCAGCAGCATCAGCATCAGCATCAGCAGCATCATCATCACAATCAGCATCATCATCATCAGCATCATCAGCATCATCAGCAGCAGCATCAGCATCAACAAAATCATATTTGTAATCATCACCACGACCACCACCATCACCCTCATCAGCATCGTCCTCATCATCGTCATCATTAGCATCATCAGCAGCATCATCAGCATCATCATCATCATCATCAGCAGCATCAGCATCATCATCGTCATCATCATCATCAGCATCATCATCAGAATCAGCATCATATTCATATTCATCATCATCAGCATCAGCAGCATCATCAGCATCATCAGCATCATCATCACCAGCATCAGCAGTATCGGCATCAGCATCAGCATCAGCATCATCATCAGCAGCATCATCAGCATCATCGTCAGCATCATCATCAGCATCATCATCGGTATCATCATCATCAGCATCATCATCATCATCCTAGCAGTGGCAACATCATCACCACAATGGTAATCAGCATCATCATCAGCATCATCATCAGCATCATCATCATGATCACGCTCATCAGTATCATCAACATCAACATCAACATCAGCATCAGCTTCATCATCATTGTCATCATCATCATCAGCATCAGCAACCTCATCATGAGCATCAGCATCATCATCAGCATCAGCATCATCATCATTATCTTCATCATCCGAATCATCAACATCATAATCATGAGCATCATCATCTTCCGCATCCTCATCCTCCCATCATAATCATCATCATCATCATCATCATCATCATCATCATCATCACCATCACCATTACCATCACCATCACCATCATCATCAGCAGCAACATCCTCAACCTCACCCTCATCATCATCATCATCATCATCGTCATCATCTTCATCATCATCAGCATCATCATCCTCCTCATCGTGGTGCACACCCTCCTGTATTTCTCCCCCTCCCTCATTCTCGTTCCCAGCTGTGTTCTTTCTCGTCCTCCTGCTGCTCCTCATGCTCCGCCTCCTCAACCTAATCATCATCCTCCTGATCCTCATCATCATCATCAACATAATCATCATGACCATCATCATCATCAGCATCATCATCATCACCCACAGCATCATCATCATCATCATCATCATCATCATCATCATCATCATCATCATCATCATCATCATCATCATCATCATCGTACTCCTCCTCCTCCTCCTCCTCAACCTCCTCCTCCTCTTCCGCCAACTCCTCCTCCTCCTCCTCCCCCTCATCCTCCACCTCGTCCTCGTCCTCGTTCTCCTCCTCCTCCTCCTCCTCCTCCTCCTCCTCCTCCTCCTCCTCCGCGTGGCCGCCTACGGTGATGATGGAGATGTCCGCCCTCGCGAGTGTCCTTGTTTGGAGCCGGAAAAAATGGGCGGCGGTGGCCGGCCGGCCCCAGGAGGCCCAGGGCTCTACGCGCGTCGGTCTCGAGGCTGAAGTTGATGGGTCGACTTTCCACCACCGCTGCCATAGGTGGGAAAGGGAGGAAGAGGAGGAGGAGGAGGAGGAAGAAGAGGAGGAAGTAGAATTGCTGTGTTTGGAAGCTGCACGGAGGAAAATCTGGCGGTAATAAAATGTAGATTGCAGGGGGTTTTACTCTTCATACTGTAAGTAGACCTGCGTCGACGCTAGGGCCCAATAGCGGCGACCCATTCGATTTGAGCCGGGCTTGCGTAGGCGATCGAACAGCTCTGGCGGACACGAGACACCAAAGGAGGAAGGGAACCAGAACTGTCCAACCACAAGCACATTCTAGACTCGGCAAAGAGATACCGTCGCTGTCTGACCTGACAGGCGCGCGACGCGTCGGGGGAGCGCGGGCCCATCCACTGACATGCTGAGCTTTATCGTGCTCTCAAGAACGGTAAATGAACTCGCACGTGTCAATTAGGATGGCGTGGGTTTCCTCGCGCCGCATTGCGCATAATGGCGCCGACCTCGGGCCTCAAACGTGGGGCCTGAGCGCTTGTTCCAGGACACATGCAAACTGTTGGCCCCGGGGCCACGTGGATGGAGAGAGGTGAAAGCGACGTGCCTTGACCTGGTAACTGGAAGAGAATGAGATGGATGGAAATACACCTTGAGGGATGCGCGCACTTTTTGGCACAACCACCCCAAGGCTCGCCACGGTTACGATCCGCGGGAGCCGCTCCGATCTCAAACTCCGCACGTACGTGATCTTCTCGCTGGGCACACCAAGCTAGACGCTGCCCGCGGGCGAGGGCCGCCGTGGCCCCTCGCCAGCGCCAGCCGCGCGGACGGGCCACGCTGGCGCGCCGACACTTGACCTTCACCCCAAACCTGCGGAACCTATTCTTCTTTTTCTTGGAAGATCGGCGATGCTCCAGCACGCGACCTCCTCGATATCCTCGAGGTGTCGTCGCGCTTGGGCTCGCTCTGGTTCTTGCCTGCGCCACTGTCCTTGCCCTTGCCAGGTGCCAAAGCAGCTCGCGAGGGGGCCGATGGACGCCGCGGCTCCTGTCCTCGACCAAGATGGGCGCGGGGTCGACTGGCGAGATGAGACAGGTCTCCAGCCCGCGCCGCGAGCCACGCTGGATTTGTCGCCCTCAGCCTGACGAGTAGGTGACTGGGGCTCGACCTCTGGAGAAAGGTGGCGAAGAGGTGGCGCCCGCGGCATGCGCTCGCCCAGAAGTGACAGGGAGCGCCATGCGGCAGGCTCTTGGACGAGGGGCACCGAGAAGCGCCTCTTCGCGGGTAACCGATGGAAAACGATCGAACCCGGGCCGTGAGCCGACGTCTGCGAGTGACAAACTGCGGCGGCACTCGATGCATTACGGCATTGCGTCGCTCAGCAAGCCTAAGTGCCGGAGAGCCTCGAACATGAACTTGAGATACACATGATGTTGAAATACCACGCCATGCCTTGTTGGACTGCTGCGCGCGACGCACGAGCCCTGCTCGGCGGCGGCGCAATTGAAGGCCCGCCAGGAGGATGGGCCACGACAGGCCGCGCGTCGGGCCGCCAACTCTCGTCTAAATGCCCGACGAGGAAGGGCGTCGGAGGTCGAGCGCCCGACCCGGCTCGACCCGTGGACGTTGCGGCGACTGCCCGTCTTCCGATGGCGCCACGCTCGCGCGCGCGGCAGCGGGCAGCCGCCAGCGCGCCGCGACGCGCGTCGGGAGCCCGCGCGCGGGCCCAGCGGCGCGCGAGCCACAACGGCGCCTGAGCGCGCTCCGGCCAGGCAGCGCACTAGCCTGCCGACGATGCAAAACGGCAGCGGCATCGTGAATACTTACCCATGATCCCCCTGCTGCTTCCGTATCCCATTCGCCCGTGCACATGCCCACCTGCGATCAAGCCACCGCGACTACTGACCACTGCAACAAAACCCCCGACAGCATGCCCCCCCGAACTGCCGCGCTACAAGATCCCCCCCACCACCACCACCGCCACGCGCCACGCGGCAGACCATCCAACGAGATGAGGATTAGGAAGGACCGATGGTTCCGAAGAGATTAACACGCGCAGTTCCTAGACCATTATACATATATATGTATATATATATATATATATATATTGTCTGTCGGAGATCGGCTGGCGATCGCGCCCCGATGGCGCGGCGGGCCTGCCAGCCGACGCGGAGGCGACTGCGCACGGCGACTGCCACCTGCCACGTCGCGAAGAGCCGATCTACTTATACTGCCTTTGGCCAGTCCATCCGCGATCACGTCGCGGGCGTCGCCCCACGTTGGCCCGAGCTCCTGAGGTCGCGGAGCCAGGGCACACGCGGCAGGGGCGAATGTTCCGCCGGGGGCCCAGGGCCCAAAGCTGCACCGGCTGTGGCCACCCCCATCGTGTCAAGGCAGAGCTCCATTTGCAGCGCTAGTGGTTGCTGACCATCTCGCCGGCAACTTGCCGCCGCAGGGCAATGAGGTCCATCGAGTACTTCATGGAGCGTGGTGGCCAAACAGAGCGAGGCCGTGATCTGTCGATCTGATCGCGGCCATCAGCTCAAGTGCCTCGCGCAACTGTTTGGAGCGCCCCGCCCTGCCAGTCCAGCAAGGGGCGCGCTTGCTTGCCAGCGAACGCCCGGTGAGCACCCGAGTCTCCAGTGCCCACGCGCAAGAAGGTGGCTCCTCGCAGGGCTCGTCCTGGGTCGGCGCTCCCCTTCTGTTCCTGTCGGAATGCTGCGTCGCTGTGAACGTCGAGCTTGCGCGTGCAGCGCATGGATGGATGATGGGCGCGCAGCTTCTGCGCGCGGCCGCACGTTGGCGCCGCTGCGCGGCGCTGACGCGCGACTGCCTAGACGTGCAGATCGATTCGGGACATGAGTGTCAAAGCCAGAGCAAAAAGCAGACTGAGGCACAGTTTGGTCAGGCTCTCTGAAGCGAGCTGAGTTGGATTTGCCAACCAGCCCAGCGCTTCCCATTGGATTCAGCGCATGAATGCACTCGCTCTGGCCAAGCTCATATCCGCCGTTGCGAGCGGGAGAATCACGCGCCCCATAACAAGCGAAAAGTTCCTTAACTGACACCCAGCCCAACTTCACCAATGGCGTCCTCCAGGCATTGAGCAAACTTGGCCTTCTCCTGAGGTGTTCCTGCGACATCGATGTCATCGACATGTTCGGTGGCCAATACATCGAGCTCGCCGTCCTCGCGTTTGGCGATGAACTCGTTGTCGTATAATGTCGGGATGGCTTGGTACCTGCGATTGGTGATCTTGGTGAGTTGGTGAATTGGATGGGCCACAATCTCGGGGCACGTTTACACCCGGTGCTTGGTTTCTCCACGCGGAGAACTGCAAGTGCTGGGTCGAAATATTCGCAACCTGTACTTTTGCGCAGGAACTGCGACGGGGCCAAGGGAGAGTTCAAGCTTAACCTCGCGCTCTTCCTCACCTGTTGCCTAGTACCTGACGCATTTCAGGAAGGCTTTCTTGACGCAGCTCGAATCGATCGCCCATTGTCGGCAGGCAGCCTCGGAAGCAATCAAACGCTGGAAGTAGTCGTGATGAGCGATGAGGTGCATGCACACGTGGTGATGAGATCAGCGCCAGCGTCGCTGAAGCCTCGAAGGGTCCGCCTCATGCGGGTGATCCGAAATTTCTGAGGTGGGTCTGCTTTACTTCGTGTCGATTTCCACTTGCCTACCCACCTGCAGCGAAGGGATTCGCGTGCTCACTGGCGCGGACGCCGCGAGAAGCAATTGCGACCTACCCATACCTGCAGCTCCTCGAGCGCAGCGGCAGCAAAGGCTGCGGCATGCACTCGACCCTTTGCGGGTGAGCAAGGCAATATAACGTTCGACCACAGCCTCCCTGGTTCCTGCCACGTAGACCGGAAGGCGCGCACAGCGACCGTCGCGAACAGGATGGTCGAATATGAGTTTGTGCATCTCGTCCGGGGCCAACGTTTTCACGCGCGCGTTCCCGGCCTGATCAACGTCAATGGCCTCTGCGGCCTCGAGAAGTGCAGCACCCGCTGTGATGTAGCGGTGGTGGTGGCAAACCTCTGTGGGCAGGAATTGCGGTTGTGGGTATGACGGGGCAGGTTGGGTCTCCGTCTCTACGATCTCCTCGAAGGTGACCGACTCTGTGAGCAACGCAACACTCCTGACTGCGAGTTGGTCGTGCGGCAAGGAGGTCCACCACGCGGCGTCGATGAGGTAGTGATCGCGCAAAGTCTTCGTGGGACCCCTCCTCGATGGTGGATAGCCTCCCTTCGTCGCGTGCGACAAGGTCGGGGCGCGCGCCGGTTTCCGAAGGAACGGCACTACCTCCCTCAGCGTCTGCTACTTGGAGCTCATCTTCCACGAGGGCTCCGAAGCAGCGTCCAGCTACCTCTCCAAGTGAGAATCAGAGATTGCACATTTTGCTGCGGCCGGGACCTAGGAGCTCGACGAGACCTAGCCTGCCAGACTCGAATCTTCACCAGCTGCCCACTTCGCGATGGACCGGTCGCCACCATGCCAAGAGTACACCACCTCGACTGCCTTCGGCCACGATGCGCCCGAGGCCGCGGCCGACTTTGGTAGCCGCGACACTCTGGTTAAGTACACGAGGCTCAAGGCCACAGAGCACTTGTTAGTGGTGACAGCGGTGACCCTGCTGGCGTTGGCCAGGCCAAAGCGTTGAGGGGTCTTGGCGAAGAGGCTCATGATGCACTTTCCTACTTTGATCCATGCCTGACCGCGGGGTGCAGTAGGTCGGCCCGTAGCTCCGCATACCACGCCACCAATGTCCATGAACCGTCGTACATCTACGTGGCGGCATATCTGTTCGGCGCCTCAGTAGTTGAGAGTCACGATGCCTGTGGCATTCACCTTGGCGACTGCGGCTGGACCACTCCACCCGCTCACAGATCGGGTGGATGGAGCTCGGCAGAAGTC